AGTAATTTACATCTTGGTGTCTTCAGGCACCATTATAATGCAGGAAACGGCCCCTTACAGTGTATCAGATTCTCCTGTCCCTGAGCTTGCTCTGTGGTTCCATGGTCTGATCTCTGGCAAGTCCTCTTCCATAACACAGGGACCATTCCACCCCAAAGAAGACACATTGTGGCAGCTTTAATTGTAAAATGACTTTATTTTCAACCCAAGCATGAGTCTAGGAGAACACCAGCACCACCAGCCACTGAGCAAAGACAGTGCCTGTCCACCTCCACCAGGACACCAGGACGTTGTGCTGCTATCTCCAGGGTGTGGCACTCACTGAAAACCAGGGCAAGAGTTGGGGGGGGCTGGTGACAGCCATCATCCTCACCTTCAGTGACTTTCCCACCAGCAGAGACATGGGCTATACACAGGCTTTGGAGAGGGTTCACCCAAAGCCACAGGCCCTTCCTGCTCCCCAGGGAGCCAAGAGTGATGCCTGAAAAGGTGGCCTACCTGGAAGATCTTGTGTGCACATGTGACTGTAAGAAGAGCCAAGTCAGTTGTGAGAATAGGGCTGCAGCAGCTCCCAGGATCCTACCCACAAGCCTCTTCCACAGAGGCTGTCCCTACAAGCTTGACTATGACAGGCATAGGTGGTCCCTTGAAGCACCCACAAACCAGTAAGAGCAGAAGGAATACGAACCACCTCCACCACCCCAGTCACTGCATGTGTCAGAACTGCCTGTGCTCCCTGCAACCAGTACTAGAAACACTCACGGTCCTTCTGCAGCTGGGCCTGCTGATGGGACTTGAAGCCCAGACCCTGGCTCCATTTGGTGAACAGCTGCATGGCCTTATGGCTAGCCATCTCTGTCCGACCTGAGCAAGAAGGAGTAGGCTCTGAGAGACAATGAGAGTGTGGAGAGCCTGGCCGTGTCCCCTGACCCTTTCTTCACTCCAATCCTCAGCCAACCTTAGCCCCTGTATGTTCCCTACTAGGGGCTGAGGACAGAGCATCTGTGTCTGGGACACCAGGGACCCTGAGCAACCTGGCCTGTCCCCACTTACTGTACAGCTCCACTGTGTTGAAGGCCTCATCCCCAAACTCCAACTGTGTGAAGATGACAGCATAGTCCTTGAAGTTAGTGCCCAGTACCCGGTAGTCCAGTACACCGAGAGCTAGAAAGCAAATGCAAGATCCAGGGGCAGCAAGGGGAACAGGGCCACCATGCCAACCAGGTTTGAAACTGGGATTGGCTGTTAAGATGGGGTCAGATTCAGGACCAGACCCCATCCAATCTCAGTAGAGGTCTCAAGCTCTCCCCAGGTTCCTGACCCCCTACATGGTGCCAGCAAGAAGCAGTTCTCAGATGCTGGTGGACTTAGATGAGTGATTGTCCCAGCTCAGCCTGGGGGAACTGAAGAGCAAGTGGGTCACCCTCTCCCAGCCCCATCCTGTGGGGATAGAACGTTACTAACCAGGCACCAAGCCTTCTGAACCCACAAAGGAGACCAGGTATTGAGACTAGGATGCTCACGGGCATCTGGGCACACAGGGGTGGGGATATGTGGTCTAAGACCTCTGTTCAGGAGCCTCTCTCTCCTGAGGATTGACCCCAGTGTCCTGCCTGTTGGATCCTTTAGCTGCCCACAGAGCTGTGCCAGGGGCTCTGGAGCAGAGTGGTCTCCTTCCTGCCAGGCCTGGCCCTGCCAGCTGCAACCTGGGAACACACAAGGACTGTCCTTCATGGTGATCAGATGAGGAGGTCCCAGGGGCATCATACTCACAGGGGTTCTCAAACACCCATCGGGACTCTCGCTTCAGCAGCTCCACAGTGTTCTGACGACACCCATCTGGCCTAGGAATCAATGGGAGGGAGACCTCTGAGACTCACCTGTGACCCACCAGTGAGGGAGGCTTCAAAGGGAGTTCACCTCTTTCACAATGCCTGTATTACCTAGAAAAACCCATCCTGGGACCTGAGAAGCACTAGTCATTCCCTTCATTTCCCAAGGGATCCACACTGCTGGGTGCTGAGGGCTCAAGAGACATCAACCTGTGGTTCAAGCGAGAACACAGTATCCAGAAGTCCCCCGAGGTGTGAGCCTCTGGGTTGAGAAACGCAAGAGAAGTGTGGCAGGATCTGTTAGACAAAACAAGTGCCACAAAGATGGCTAGGGACAAGACACCTACAGTGAGAGATGATGGAGAGGCTCCAAAAGAAAAACAGCATAAGCCGGTCCAGCAGACAAGGAGGCACACCTTAAGCCCACCACAAAGTCTGGGTAAATAAACAGATCACAGGAACAGAATAGAGAGTTAAAAACAAAGAAAAATTACCCCAACACATACCTACAACAAAGGTCACAAACTAGGTCATAATTCTGAAATGCGGGGCTGCACAGCTCCCTGAGTATAACTCACATTTTTATCCCAGGCTAAGTTCTAGAACTTCCAGAGACAGAAAAGGAGAGGATCCCCCTTCCTCCCTCCATGTCATGGCACCCAGCGCCCTCAGAAGCAAAGGCCGGTGTGCATACAGTGCAGAATTAAAAAGTACTTCATAGGGAAAAATTCCTCTTGGGCCTGGAGAAATGGCCTGGCAGTTAAGAGCACTTGCTGGTCTTGCAGAGAACCCAGTTTTGGTCCCCAATACTCACAGGGTAACTCACAACCACTCATAACTCCAAAACCAGAGATCTGCTACTCTTTCCTGACCCTTGTGAGCATTGGCTACACAAACATGCATGCAGGCAAAATATTCACATACATAAATTTTTTTTAAATATCTCTCCAAATCAGAAAAACAAACTGGAAGGTATCTGTAGCTAGTTTGTTTTTTTGTTGTTGTTGTTTTGTTTTGTCTTGTGTTTTTGTTTTGTTTTTTGAGACAGGGTTTCTCTGTGTAGCCCTAGCCATCCTGGAACTCACTCTGTGGACCAGGCTGGCCTCAGACACAAGAGATCCACCTGCCTCTGCCTCCTGATTGCTGGGATTAAAAGTGTGCACCACCACTGTCTGGTATAACTAGTTTTTAATCACAGACTAATTGCTAAAATTCCCCTTTCTCACAAACCAGTAAGAAACCTTCTAGAAGAAAATATGCAGAATATTTAAAGAGAGCTTACTAGGAGGGAAACATAGCAGATACACACATTTGTGACTCTCGGTATCAGAGACACTAGTCCGATGTGGTGAAACACCTACACCTACAATCCCAGCCCTGAGAGGTAGAAGCAGGGGATCAGGAGTTCAAGGTCATCCTTGTCTACAGCATGGGCTTTATGAGAGGAGCAGAGGTCAGAGCCTATATGAGTAGCCAAATGGGGACAGCAGATGACAAAGAACTGCCAGTTAGACACACAGACATCTGCTAGCAGGTTACTTCTAGGATAAACCCTCTTTTCTAAGGAGCCAACTTACCAAGGCTCACTGTCTACACATTTCTAGTGAAAAAGATGGAAGCCACCAAAGTGTCCATGGATAATGGGACACACAGACCATCCACATAGTGGGATGTCACCAAACCAAAGACAGAAAGGGTGAACTTAGAAGATATTGGCTAAGAGAAACCCAGTCACAACAGGATGGTCTCTATAGGGACATTTCTCTGGGCTCTCCCGTCATTGCGTGGGGAAACAGGAAGCACAGAGGGGGTGGGGATGGAGATCCAGTGTCGCTTAATGTGGAATGTCCTCACAGGCCATGTGTGGGAAGCTTCATGCCTCTGCCCATAGCAGAGGGAAGAGGTAGAGCCTGGTGGGAAGAAGTTTGGCCACTGGAGATGTGTCCTTCAAGGGATGGTGATATGACTCTCCTCCTCTTCCTCTTTCCTTTTCTTCTCTCCCCCTCTCCCTCCCTCCCTTCCCCTCCCTCCCTCCTTTTTTCCCCTCTCTTTCCTTCCTAGCACCATGAAGTGAGCTGCCTTCACCATGTATTCTCCACCATGATGTAATGAGCTACCATAGTCTCAAGGCAACAGGGTCAGTGGGTAACCAAGGACTGAAATCTTTGGACTCATGGGCCTAGGCAAACCTCATAAATTTGCCATGGCGATGGAAAGCTGTCACACGGAGACAAAATTTCAGTTTAGGAAGGTGGAGTTGTGTGATAGGTGGGAATGATTGCTATAACACAGGGTGACAAAGTACTTGGTAAAATGGCAAACACGATGCAAAGCCCTGGCTGGCAGAAAGTGGATGAGTGAGAGCAGAGACCAGTAGGGAAAAGAAGGAAGCACAACAGATGTAGGGAGCCTACCACTCTGGGAAGCTCATGGAAAAAAAGGAGACTAACCTGGGGAGCACAGGAGAGTGGGGAGCACAGAGAGACATCCATGACTCCAGGAGCAGGCCTGCAGAGTCCAGTCCTCTACCTGAACCAGGCAGACAAATCCCACAGCCCCTCTGGTGAAGGTGCTCCTGCTGAGGAAGCTAAAACAGAGTTACATAGCTCAGGAGCTGCCTACTCACCCATGCCGAGAGGACTGAACTCTCAACTTGTTATCTGGAGTGAGAGTCACCATGACACCTTCCACATTCTTCATGTCCTTCTCCACCATGAAGTTCTTCGCACGGGATGCCATTGCCAGGATGTACCAGGGCCCAAGGAGCTAGGAGAAGCATCGGCTGAGATACCTGGCTCTCCTCCCTCAAAGCGGTCAAAGAACTCCAACACCCTGATTGCAGTCTAACTCCCTCCTCCCATGCTTGTCCACATTGACTCTTGGGGAGTCAATGCCCACAGGCTGTGAGCCTCAAAGGTGGGTCCTGGCCCTAGGACTTGCTGCCCAAGAAGGCTGTTACCTGATTAGGATCCAGCCTTCCCAGCCACACTGCCTGGACCCAGGACATAGAGACCAAAGCAAGAAGAGCAGCAGTCAGGAGCACCACCTTCATTCTTCCAGAGGCTCAGGCACACCATGCAGTAGGCCAAGATGTGCCATCTCCCACCAGAAAACAGTTTATATAACTCTAAGTGCCTCAGTGTGGGTGGCCGCTAACTGCCAGGATGTCTTTCTGACCTCTCACAAAGCAAAATTATTCAGGGTGGGGGAGGGTGTTGTTAAACTGTAGTTTTTGGCCGCTAACTGCCAGGATGTCTTTCTGACCTCTCACAAAGCAAAATTACTCAGGGTGGCGGAGGGTGTTGTTAAACTGTAGTGACCTTGGTGTCTAGCTCAGACCTGTGGCAGAGGCAAGAGAAGCCCAGGAGCCTGTTCTAATCTCCAGTACAGGTACCTACTCCCCAGAATGTTCAGAGTAAGGCTCCTAAAGCTGGCCACCCTGTCATCTCCCTCCCCCGGATCGGCATTCTCCCCAGTTGAGTCTGCTCTTCAGGGGCAGGCCAAGCAAGCCCACACTGAGGTCAAGTCCCAGTGCTGGCTGGTCAAGCACAAGTAATCTGTCCAGAAATCTCAGTTTCACACATCTTTTGTCTCAATCATTAAAAACACACAACGCCACTTGAAAGGCTTCCTTTTAAGCTTCCATTCCCACCCCCATTGGCCCACGCAACCTTCTGCTTTGCTGGTCTGTAGCCTCCCACTGGCCCCAACAGCCAGCCCTGCAGCCAAGCTGTCCTGTTCCCTCTGTCCTCCTATCTGGACCTATCCATTCTCCATCCATCTCCAGGTGGGCCACATCTACCTTTCTGTTCTCTGAGACCAAATCCTGATTGACTTCAGCCAGACCCTAAGGTCCTCTCAAACTCTGTCTGTAGCCTGGTCCCCAAGGCTCCCCTGATTGATAGCTGTCTGTAGCCTGGTCCCCAAGGCTCCCCTGATTGATAGCTGTCTGTAGCCTGGTCCCCAAGGCTCCCCTGATTGATAGCTGTCTGTAGCCTGGTCCCCAAGGCTCCCCTGATTGATAGCTGTCTGAAGCCTGAGCTATTCTTTACAAAGTCATTGGAGCTGCTATCAGGAGCAAAAGCTCTGGGTGGGGTTTATCTGGCCTGCCGTACTCTCGGGATTGGGGGAGGTGGCAGGCGAATCCTCCTGCCTCCAGTCAAGACCGTAGTCACACACTCCCTGAGATTGGCTCATCTATGCCCCACTCATCATCAAAGATGTACTGAGAACTTCTGCAGAACAAGGCTGCAGTGCGCAGGACCCACCACAGAGCAGACTGAAGCTCACATTTCGCCCCCATATACCCATGCCCATCATCATCCAAGTCAGCTTGAGAATCCACGGGTGTAATGTGTCCACAGCTTGAGTCTCCACAGCAAATAGATCTAATAAAGTCTCCCTGGCCCCTGCTGTGGAGAGGCAAAGACCCACAAACCAGACCCCGTGTAAATGTCAGCTAAGTCTTCTTCCATCCAAGTCAGTGACCCAGAGTCAGACCTTGAACCTGGATTAGAATGGTTCCTGGCTGCTGACCTCCCAGACACCTGATAGAAGAAAGTAAAATTTCTCTTAGGAAGACAATTGCTCCAAAACTCCCATCCTAATCTTCAGACCAATGCAGTCAATCATTTTTAAACCTATTTTCCCACCAAAACACATAGGCTTAAGACAGCAGAATAAACCTGGCGTTGGTGGTGCACGCCTTTAATCCCAGCACTCAGGAGGCAGAGGCAGCTGGATCTCTGTGAGTTCGAGGCCAGTCTGGTCTACAGAGCGAGTTCCAGGACAGCCTCCAACACAATACAGAGAAACCCTGTCTCAAAAAACCAAAACCAAAAAACAAACAAACAAAAACCATAAGACAGGAGAATAAGAAGCAGCAGGGGAAAATAGACAGGAAGAACAGAGCCATGACTATGCCTGGATTAAGGCATAGTCCTTGATCAGTCTGCAAGGCAGACTGAAAAGAGCTCTGGGGACAGTGCTCACAGGCAAAGCCACCTTTGGAAGTTCTCAGAGGCAAACAGAAATCATAAAAAGTGGTGTAGTGAAGGAACGTCCATGAGAATCAGGTTAAGGTGGGTTACTGTGCCTGAATTTCTTCACCACTTAGAAAAGCTATCAAAGCCTGGGAGACCAGCTCCCAGGTCTGCACCCAGGGTGCTAGAAAGAATGCCTTCAGAGCAGCAGGACTTAGAGAAAATTCTTCTCTATATGAGAGCCAGACTTCTTTTTTTTAAGATTTATTTACTTATTATGTACATGTGTTCCACCTCCATATATGCCTGCTCACCAGAAGAGGGCACCAGATCTCATTTAGATGGTTGTGAGCCACCATGTGATTGCAGAGAATTGAACTCAGGACCTCTGGAAGTGCAGCCAGTGCTCTTAACCTCTGAGCCATCTCTTTAGTCCCATGGGCTGGACTTTTCTATCTGAGGTAAATAAGGAAACACATGCTTTCAGATGGTCACCTCTTTTGCTTCATCTTGAATAATCTCTCTTCACAATCTCTACAGTTACATCTCTTTGCACACAGTCACACATCTCTCTTCCACACAGCCACAGGGCTCTACACACAGTTCCATCTATTTTCACACAGTCACATTCTCCATACATTTTCCACACATTCTCCACACAGCCACGTACTTCACACTTCTCTACACTGCCACAGCTCTCTCCACACAGTTACATTCTCCACGTAGCCATACACTTCTTCACATACATCTCTCCTCATACACATCTCTCTTCTATACAACTACGTCTTCTGTCTCTCTACACACTCAGCTACACCTCTTCATGCTCCCTTCTCACTTCCTCTTAATCTCTCACACTTCTCTCTGCACATTCAGCTACAGCTCCCTGTCAACACACACACACACACACACACACACCACATACACACCACATACACACACCACATACACACACACACACACCACATATACACCACATACACACCACACACACACACACACCACATACACCCCCCACACACACACACACCACACACACACACACACACACACACACCACACACACACACCACACACACCACACACAC